CTACAGGAGGCCTTTGTTCACCCCCCGGAGCCGTGTGAGACACTTTTTTATGGATGGGCGCTTTTTATTTAACTTCTTTTGGACTGATGCATGCAACACCCGCCGAGTGGCATTAAACAGCTTGAAAGATCAAAGACAATTTTTAATATAACTCCGACTGGATTCGTCTGAAAGAAGAAAGTCATATACACCTAGGATGATTTGAGGGTGAGTAATTTATGGGCTAATTTAAATTTTTGGGTGAACTAACCCTTTAAACTTTTATTTTCAGGTTGAAAAAAAATATTCGATTTAACTAACTATAATTTACTTGACATTTCTCTCGCCTCATCCACAATCTAGGATAGATTTATTTTCTCTGAAAAAGCAGAATCTTAAATATTTATTCTTCACTTTATGAAATAACGTTTCTATGTTTTAAATGTTTCAAAATCCTTAAAATCCACATTAAATTTTTTTCCCTGGTTTAAATGAGATGTTGAATCTAATTTATACATTTTAAAACTAAATTTATAATTTACGGTTTTCCTGCCTCATCTGCTATCTTGAATGGATATCCCCCCTGCAATATAGCAGATATTTTTTAAGATTTTATATAATTTTTATAATGTTATATTTTTATATGACATTTAAAAATCTTTATTTTTTATTTCTAGGTTTAAATGAGTTGTTGCATCTCATTTATACATTTTACACTATATTTCTAATGGACATTCCTCATCTGCCATCTTAAATGAATCCCCCACACCATCTCTACATTGGGAGCTAGATGCATACGATGCCTTAAAATGCTGCCCATGTAGGCAACTCACTACGTTTTGGAACAGAGTCGTAGTTTTCATTTTTATAAGCTTCTTCTATTGGGAACCACTCCTCATCTGTGCCATTACAGCATTAGCAACATTCTGCTGTCAACAAGCACGCCTGGCACTGTAAGGTGCTCGGCCTCTCAGTAAACAGCATGTGTAGCATCCCCTCCCGTGGGTAGAAAGGCTCAAAAACTAGCTGTACCTTTGCTGGCAGAGCCCCTCCTATCTGGTCTGGCCCCTCAGACTGGGAAGTCCTTTTCTCCTGATGCACTAACACAGACTGAGAGACACGTTGTCTTCCGTCAATAATATTGCCAACAGCCAAATTACAGCTAACTACCTCAACACATCAGTGTAGGCTGCATTGAAAGCCCCTGGAGGGAGGCAGATTCGTATTGTATTTCCCACAGACATAATGATGTATAAATCAACTACAGATGTGTAAATATTGAATGCATTAGTGGATTCATCTGCTACACAGACCGGACAAACTGACTGATGACAATAACTGTACATAATACCAGAACCAGGGCTGCAAATGGACTGTGGCTGTGAGATATCGCTACTCCGTTAGCATTTATTTACCTTATTGCGAATCCGTTCTTTCCTGCTGCCCATGTCCTCTCGATCCTCCTTGCCCAGTTTGTCTCTGGTCTCTGGGCAGTAAGAATAGCCATGATGTTGGTCTTTCTTGGCTCTGTCCTGGCAGTAGCCTTTACCCCATTTGGTCTCCTCCTTGCGTCGCATGAATTTGTCAAACTCGTAGTGATGCCTCTGTCGTTTGCGCTCCTCATCTCTGCCGCGATGCTCTTTGTCCCTCTGGCGACGGCCGTGACCTTCCCGCTGCTCCTTATCACTCTCGATTTGACTCCTACTATTTGATTAAGATTTGATTTTGATTTTTGATTACAAGGTCAACATATGCATGGATAAATCTTTCAATAAGATCATTAAGATGCATTCAAAACACAGAATTGCCATTTTGTGCCAACTTTAAATGGTAGATGTTGAATCCCAGATTTTTAAACCCCACTGTATCTTTTATGGCAAGTAGTGGCAAGTTTTAGGTAGTTCTTACTTATCCTTGGAATCCTTTGACTTAGTGTGTCCTGCCGGCTTTTCCCATCTGTTCTTCTCCGTTTCTCCGCTGTCTCCTTTATCTTTCAGTCTGTCTGAGTCCACGTCATCGTCTCGATCACATTTCTTCAAAAGCTAAAGAAGTCAATATTGCAAATCTCATGTAATGACTTGTTTTCAGTACATTACTGACAATGACATGTGAAAAACAGTCCGTCATGCTCAATGTCCGAAGATGATGATGAAGTTCAAAGACTAATGTAAAACAAGGTTTATAAGGTAGACAAATCCAAATACGAGTAGGCAATGTGAAATAGTGTGCTGAACGCAACAATACTGGAAGAAATGAGAAGTGAAAATAGGGCAACTTAAATACAGGGCAAACAAGGGAAATAATGACAAACACCTGTGCTGATTAAATGAATTACCATGAAACTAAGACCAAAATACATGAAAGTCTGTACCACAGTCATCTTCAGGATGTGATATGGTTTTAAGTCATACCTTGATCTTTATCTCCTTTTCAGAGAGCTTCTTTTGCTTTTCAGCCTCCTTTCGCTTTCGTCTCTCCTCTTCTCTGCGCTTCCGCTTCTCCTCCTCCCTCTGTCGCTTCTTTTCCAGTTCCCTCCTTCGCCTCTCCTCTCTTTTTTCCTCTCTTATTCTCTAGAATTGAAAAGAATCATGTATATACAGTACAAAATCATAGTGTATAACATGCAATCAGATGATGTTCTTACCTGTTTCTCTAATTTCTTGTTTTTGATGTATTCCAGCAAAGGTGTTGTCCTTTTGGCTGCACATAAAGTCACACAGAGGAAAAATAGAGCTTAGTTTATGGTCAATTTTAATGGAACAATTTGTTCCAGCTGAAAATTCTGAATAGCGGTTTTCTGTTGATGAGCAAAATAACATCTATGGCAACATGTGTTTTGAAATCACACAATAGGATCAAAATTCACATTTGAGGAATGATTGTGTTATTTAAGTAGTAGAACAAAAAATAAGAACGTACTCGGTTACTAACGTAACCTCGGTTCCCTGAGATACGGGAACGAGTACTGCGTCTGCTAAGACGCTATGGGAAAACTCCTTTTTCTCCGATGACTGAAGCCTTTTCAATAACGCAGTGTAACTGTACGATGAAGCCCGCCAGAATGGGCGGGGAAATCTGGCTATATAAGCAGGCATTTCGCCATAGGATCCACAGGTTACTTCGATTGAAGCAACGACTGAGTCGTGCAGCTACATAGCACGGCCAGCAACGCAGTACTCATTCCCGTATCTCCGGGAACCGAGGTTACGTTCCCTATCGATACTTCACTGGTACTGCGTCTGCTAAGATGCTATGGGGAACCAGTACAATCCCGCCGTGCTATGCTAGAGGAACGACTAATACTTGAACTTGCCTTAAGCACCCAAGGGGTCCCAGAGGGACCAAGTATTTTGCAGGGAAGCCCCGCAGGAGGCATTAGGGCCAAACTCACAGAGGTCGGCCCGGCCCGTAGTAATCGTTCGAAGAGAAATTCAAATGGCAAATGTGGATGGCGAGGCCCAGCCGGCCGCTGCACAATTTTTTGCAATGGACACACCGCTAGACCAAGCCCAGGAAGAGGCGACGCCACTAGTTGAGTGGGCTCTTACTCCCATGGGGCATTGTAGGCCCAAAGAAGAGTACGCTAGCGCAATAGCATCAATTATCCATTTGGAAAGTCTCTGCATAGTCTCTAGAGTTATTACCTGTGCTCTGAACAGAGTAGAGAGCACCTTAGGTATGTAACCATGCCTTGGCTTCAGGACGACTTTAGAGTCGCTGGGCCCGAATTCGAGGCAGGTGGGGCTCACAGAGAGCGCCTGCAGCTCTCCCATATGCTTAACCGATGCTAACACCAGTAGCAGAGCGGTTTTCAGCATCAGGGGACGCGACGACCGAGTCGTACAGCTACATAGCACGGCCAGCAACGCAGTACTCATTCCCGTATCTCCGGGAACCGAGGTTACGTTCCCTATCGATACTTCACTGGTACTGCGTCTGCTAAGATGCTATAGGGAACCAGTACAATCCCGCCGTGCTATGCTAGAGAAACGACTAATGCTTGAACTTGCCTTGAACACCAATGGGGCCTAGAGCGACCAAGTATTTTGCAGGCAACGCAGTACTCATTCCCGTATCTCAGGGAACCGAGGTTACGTTCCCTATCGATACTTCACTGGTACTGCGTCTGCTAAGATGCTATGGGGAACCAGTACAATCCCGCCGTGCTATGCTAGAGGAACGACTAATACTTGAACTTGCCTTA